CTCCAGGAAGTCACTGAAGCTGCCGTGCGTGGCGTCGTCGCACACGAAGAATGCGGGCGAGCTCACGTGGCACGCGCCGTAGAGCTTGAGCACGAGTGGGTGGTCGAGTCGTCTCCAGACGTCCACCTCGGCGTCGTCTACCAGCAGGCACTTGACCACGATCTTGGTGCCGTTGCCGCCCGTCGCGCCCGGTCCACGAGCCGCGGTGCACGGAGCCGTACGAGTCGAAGTCCACGTCGTCGCGCGGGATGAACCACTCGGGGACGCCCACGTCTGCTCCTGCTCCTGTAGCTGTTGACGACGCGCCCGTGGCTGCCAGGTGCGCGGCCGCGCCGCCTAGTTCAGTTCAGTTGTGAAATGACTTATTTGTTGTATGTCCATTAACAGCCAATTACAGTTTTTGTATGAATTTAGACCAATCAAAGGGAGGCCACGGTCGGATTTCGACTATTTCGATAGGGGTAGGGATGTCCGCTATCCGGTCAAAATACATGTATGTGTATGGCTTTACAAATTCTAAGATAAAAGCGTTTCACACGCATATTTTTCATTTACCCAATCCGACCTTATCGGACCTGTACCATAATTCAGGTACACCTGTGCGTTGAAAATGACAACAACGATCCCGTGAGGTACCGCTGTATGAGCTTAATGTGAGCGCGTTAGGCAAGCCCAAGACGTGCATCAATGGTTAATAAAATTATACTTATCAAGTAATATCCACTTAATATGAGACTACGGCGAACAAAATGTTACTTACGTGCCATTGAGAGTTATCGAGATAATCGACTTTAAAGTTGACCAATCATAATTCGTACCTATCCGGACATCGAAATTTTGAAAGTGAAAATTACTCGTAGAAAGCGGAAAAGACTTTAATGCGATTGCTTTGAACGAGAGCTTTCTGATAATGTACACTAAGCAAATTTTGAGAAAGAATTGAAGTCACTATCGTTCAAAACGTGGTAGGATTTTGACCCATCCCAAATGGGGATAGTTTTTTCAAGTGCCGACAACTCCTCGAATTTTCAACATTTCGATGCAAACAAGGGCTCAAATGTGCGCAAGATAGCGCTCTTCACGATAAAGCCACTAAATCGCGATTCGTACTTAGGTTCGTAAGTAATTTTTTGTTTGCCGCCGTCTCTATTATATAAACGTTAAACTAATAATGTGGCAACGTGGTAGCCATCGTGCAGCCCGCACGACAGCAGTTGCTGGCAGCGACTCCAGCGGGCGGCATACCTCCCGCCCTGCCGGGTACGGTCACAACACTAGCGGGGTCTTCATAGGCTTGAGCGGCGGTGGCAGCGGCTACTGTTGACCGGGGGGGGGGGGGGGGGCGTTCGGAGGGCGCGTCGTGACGCTTGCAGGCGCTCACCCAACGGGCAGCCTGCCGGCCGCCCTGCCGTGGGCGAATTGACCGCAACAAGCGGACCCCTCGGACACTTGGCCCCCATTTCCCCCGCAGAGGTGACCCAAGTGACTCGCTCGCCGGCTTCCTCCTTCCACCTCTTCATCCAAAACGTCGATGGACACGAGCACACTCACCACGTGAACCGACTGTCGGTGGTTGAGTCTGTGGACTCGGAGCCGCGCAAGCCTAACAAGACACGAGCCAAGTGCTGCAGCAACCTGAGCTTCGAGAACCCCTGGGTCCAAAAGGTGCGGCTAAAGTAGCAGCAGCTTCGACGTTCACGTCCCATGTGCTAATGAAAAAGTGTCGTGGTGGCTGACGACAGATCACGGCTCTGGCGGTCGGTGTCCCGGGCGGCATCCTGGGCGTACTGCCCGCTGTGGTGCTCAACAACTGGCTCAAGTCGACCGCCTACCTCGGGTCCTTCTGCATCGCCTCCATCATCACAATGGGAGGCTTTGCCGCGCTGTACGGGGAAGTGACCGGTCGACTCGGGGGCAGTTCACTCGTGATGGACCTGCGGGTCGGCTTCATCTCGGCCTCCTTCTCCTTCGTCGTGGGCATCGTTTTCCAGGCCACGGGCCTCATGAGCGTCATCTTTGGCGAGTAACAGGGCACTGTCAACAGAGAGCATTGCATTCGTCCCCCACAGTCTCACTTGACTCACTTCACTTCAACATGAAGCCAACGGCCCGAGAGTCAGCCCGCTTTTGGACCGGCTACTGATGCGCTGCCGCCATTCGATTGGCTGGCGATCGCAATCAGCAGCATGCAACGTCGTTTTTTAATTCAGTAATCTGCCCGAGTAAGGAACGCCTGATATATATAAAGACGCAGAATAAATTGATGTTAAGTTGAGTATACTTTCCAATGTACTGATTTAGTTATTTAAAAATGAACGGAAGAGCAGCTTTACCTACGCGTCCGGAATGATTCCAACAGTGGCGTATGGTCGAAGCACTAACCTTTGACCAGGCATCCTCGCACCACAACAGCGCTGTCAACTGGTCGACCTCGTAGGGATTATCTAGCCCTTCACCAAGCCGGTCTAGAGCCTGCATCATCTTGCGGGATAGAATGTGTCGCTTAATACAATGAATGATTCCTTGGTCCTTCTCCAGCGGCCGCCCCAGCAGGACTGCACTTGACTTAATTATGCGGCATATCGTTGTCTTGCCTGGGGCGGCCGGGAGGCTGAACTCCGTCGCAGCCCACTCAGCCAGGCCCCTGTAGGAGAGAGCAGGTGTGCGGGCCGCCTTGTCGAGGATGCCCACTTTCTCAGACCAAGTGAGGCGGAGACGCTTGGACGGTGTGGACTTCATGGGTGGAGTGGGGGAGGAGGTGGGCTTGTGGGGCGAGGTGCAAAAGCAAAAGTGCGAGTCTACCACTACGGTACATGTAGTTTGAAGTCTAGTAAGATCGCTAAATACGCGCCATTGTTCAAACGAGGGTGGAGAGCTGATGATTGGCACTGGAATTTTCACCTTAGAACCTCAGTACCTTGCAGTACCTTGCACATCCCCCTATCGCCACATTGACTGGAAAATAATATTAAATATGTGAGGCTATTAGTTGTAAACCCGTTCCTTATTCGGGCAGAATTCTGTACCTACTATTATTGTGCTTTGCAGTTATTTTGCCGACCATTTTAGACGCTAAATATGGCAAAGCCTGCTCCTAAATATGTGTGAAAGAAGATACACGACCTGCTAAAATTATGCATAAACCCACCTCCTCACATATATATCGACTTGGGAGGGCCTGTCAGCAGCCATGCATTGGCCCAGTACACCACCGTCCAGGATCACCAGCACATCCACCCTCTTATGCATAATTGCCGTGTGTGTAGGTGCTTGTG